AAAAAAATGCCCCCTCTAAAACTGATCGAGAATATGTTGAGAAATACAAGCATTTTTTTGGGAAAAAAATGTTTTGCCCCCCTCTAGAAAAATCCTGGCGACGCCCATGTACACCCAAAAGAAATACTTGCACAAATGGTGAAGAATCCTTGAAAAAAAAAACATGGATCCAGACCCTGATCCGGATCACTTCCAATATCTAATCGAGTGAACTTGTATAGGGGCTATACCAAGGACCACCTCAAAGTTTTGTAATGCAAATCCGTCCATAACTGTTTGAGTTATCATGTTAACAGACAAACCAACCAACCAACCAACCAACCAACCAACCAACCAACCAACCAACCAACCAACCAACAAAATCCGGTGAAAACATTACCTCCTTGGCGGAGGTGATTTTTCTTATACCTTATATTCTACGGATGATATCACAATGAAGTACGACGAAATTAAAGAAAATTATAGGATGCGATTGTGTGGCATTATAGACGAATTTGAGGTTCATATATAGACGAGACGAAATCGAATACTCCCGAACAAAAAATTGCGGATGATTGTTTGAATTTGCTTGAACTAAATTTGAAATTGTCTAGAAAAAGGACCAAATTAAACACTGGAAGTGCACTAAATCGATGTTGCTGAACGAATTTGAAAATTAGAAACGGTTAATTCGAATAGTTTTAAAACAGCCCGGGAAATCTATAATCTCACGGCGAGGGGGGGGGGGGGTGGTTGTAACTTTAATAAAGAATTAAAGCCAAGAAACCTGCATGGACAAAGTTTAAGCCGGCAAATCAGAAAACCGGGATGATTCACCCTATAGTTCACCATCCAATGGCTTCCAATGAACCACTACATGCAAATCCTTTTGGATAAATCCGACAAGATTAGATAAGGTATGGCATATAAACTGTCCGCCGTGTAATCTGGGAAACTAGTTTCCCAGTATACAGATCGAGTGTGGTGCACCTGGTGTCATCACCCTAGATGTCCTTTTAATTTCCTCATAATGACGGATTTATTTGATTGTTTTTGTAAACACTTACTTCACTATAAGTGGGCATTTTATAAACTGCTCGCCATTAGAGTCAATAACAGCTAACGTGACTGTCATTTTTGGCATCAGGTGTCTCTGAACAAATTTTCTTCCGGCTTTTAACAGACAAGATAGACACATCATGACAGATGCCTCGTTCGTAAGATCTTCAAATATCAAGTCACAATGGTCAGCAAAATAAACACCGTTGCATTGTGTTACTAAACAATTTTTATTCAGCCATCTGGATCCGCTCGATTCGCTTCCGATGTGAACGGACGAGTAAAGTTTCAACTTAAAATGAATCTGATTGGTCCAACTCGCCCGCCATTCTTCGCGGGGGATAACGTGTACGTTTTCTATTGGATGACCAACTAAATTCGCGCTCGCCGGGGGTGGAGCAACACAAAATATGCGGGAACGAATATGGATAAAAACAGCGCAGTGAGAGCATACTTTTCAAAGCGCCACAAAATCAGAGAAATATTGCTGTTTCTGTGTTCTTGGACGGGATCCCGCCAGATACTTCCTCACCATGCTTCGTTTCGTCTGTCTTTTTCTGGCTGCGGGGATTCTTTCAGCCGAGGCGCTGCAACAAGCCGACAGTAAGTAGGCCTAACATTTTATTTTCCAGCCCGGTAATCCTCTTCATTTTGACCTAATATTTTCTGTCCAGCTCATCAACTGTATCGAATATTTTCTTGTAGTACATGTATCTCATATTCTAATCAAGCTATGGTTTGCTTTAGAATTAGGCCAACCAGAATTGTTTTATGTCGAGATGTTTTTTTTTAAACACATATCCTTCTTAATAGCGTAATTCCATCTGATGAATAGTTAATGCTGTACCCACTGCTATGTGCATCAGATTCTAAACAGCCAATCGAACCCGTTAGCTCGGTGGTCGAGTGGTAAGACATCTGCAGTAGAAAGCAAGAAGTTGTGGGTTAGGGTCCCACCCGAGTGAATTTTCCAACTTTCACTCGGGAGGTATTTTTATACGTCGGTGGAGGGCAAACACTAATTTGATGTCCTTCTTAAAGCAGTTGAAATATATCAATCATGTTTGGTTTAGCGGTTATATTTTGTTTTTAACTTCGCGACAGCTAATAAGTATTATTTTTTCCTATTCAGTGTAAGACATTTCACAATGTTTCGTCTATCAAATGTTGTTCTTCGATGCACAATGTCAAACCGATTTCTCCAAAACATATAGCCTATTCGGGAACTCCTTGAAGGCAAAGTAAACTAGGTGCACAAGAAATCGGGTTTGCGTTGCACTGCAGAAATAACAAATCAGGTGGGGACAACCCCGTTTGTAATCTAGTTAGTTTGGATTCGAACCTGCGACAATGAGTGATTGAAGTATAAGTCAACGTTATCAAAGGCGTAGGAATGTGTACTCCGAAAACGTAATTAAAGCTTAATGTCCATCTTTGTACAATGTGTTTCCTGTGTTTTATTCCAGCTATCCGTTTTGACGTGAAGGAGCTTGCCGAGCTGCCCTGCCCCAACACTCCCTGGGTTGACTCCGCCTACTTCCTTCTATCCGACACCGGCTACAACAACCCGACCTGCAACTACTACATGGAGATGGACCTCCGTAGCAAGGTGGAGGAGTACTGCAAGCGGAGTCCCGGGGCTTGCTCGTTCCGTCTGGCCAACGTGCTGGGCAAGGAACCCGACCCCAGGTGCGTCAGCTCCTTCGAGGTCGGCTACCTCTGTATCTAGGTGAGAATTTGGCCAGTTTATCATTTTGTGAAGCTTTGTGCACATTGCTCTGTCTACGCCTCATTAGCAAATTCGATTGATATTTTCCTCAACGAAAATATGTATTGTTTTTATGTTAAAGTCTGCAAAAGTATTTATTTTCGGCTTTCTTTTGCGCCGCTTGACTTACTGTCGCCGGCAGGGAGATGCGTGTCATTATTTTTTGCTGAGAATTTAAACAAAACGAGGCAATTCAAAGCTGCATACCTACTCAATTGTTTTCTCGATTTGGATGTTAAAAATGAGAAATCAGCTGCCGGGAGATTGTGTTCTCCAACTCTTGAATTATTTCTCGTTTTTATTTGTCGAACGTAGAACAATAAAGTTACAATTTACAAGTTTTCCCACGTTCAGTGCAGATCTATTTAAACTTTGATATTTTGGCCTGGAATGCACCCAATTGGGCTACAAAAACGCGTTTTAAACGAAATGACATTACTAAGAAAGAGCATTAAAAAAAAAGAATATAAACGTCCACCCAACCATTCTTTAAAAGCTAGGCGTTTTGTGTTATTCTTGCGAGAACCATGCAAGAATGAATTTCGGGGTCACAATTTTGTCTTCCGTACCTTATAATAACATCTGCCCTCCTTCGTTAAAATGTCAACTCCCTTTTTTTCATCTGTTCACAGTTTCCCCTTTTCGTGGTTTTCAGTCTTGTCAACTGTGAATTGCAAAAAGGGGATATTATACAGTGGATATGGGGTTGGGCAAAATATACCACAGTAACGTACTTTGCCTTTTAGATTTCGCAGTTATTGTGGTAGTTTGTCTAACCTACTTTTAAGTTGAAATTTGAAAATATTGTCGAGATGATGAATTCAGAATAATTTTTCTTATTTGGAAGGGGCGAGCTATGTGCGAGTCGTTCAATTATCAAGAAATCAAGAAACTCAAGATACAGAAATTGACAGTTTTATGAGAGCATGGGCCGATATCAAACTTTTACAAAATTAGGTCATATTCTTCTTTATCTTACAGGTGTACTGGCTATTGCAGATACTTCCCAATGGAGAACGTTCCGACAAATGGAGACAAGATAAATATACCGACAGCAAATATAATAACCTAGGGCCCATAAGACCCTGTTCAATATGCATGTGTATGCTTCGCACATTGAGTTTATTTTAACCAAAAACCCCTTAATCTAAGCCCACTGACTGCAGTGGTCCGGTGGTAAAGGGGGTTGTGGGGTTTTCCAACTAGCTGATATTTCGCCTTGCACACAGCTCCACAGAACAGATTAGAGCATGTGGGGGGGGGGGGGGGTCCAACTTAATATCTTCAGCATTTGCACTTTATAGCTTGGTACAGGTAGGCTACGAGATAGCTAACAGTTGGCAGTGATTATGATCAAATACAACCCCATTAGCTACAGGATTACTGATCATATAATTCGTCATACCATGGAGCTATCTTAACCCTAACTCCCTAGGGGGTGTGCAAAATCGTATTGAAATTGGAGGATTCAGGACTGTTAGGGATCTATAGGTTTATTTTAAGTTCTTCGGAAACAAAGTAAACTTGCAAGTGGTTCTTTCACACTCATAATTTATATAAAAATACTACACTGCAAGTTAAACTTGCGCGATCCCCCTGGCATGCTGGCAGTATTTATACAGTCAGTTAGTAGGCACACTTTGCAGTTGATCAAACCAAAATCAACAATGACCTCATTTGACCTCAAATGTCTCAAGCCATCTTAAGTCCCCCTACCCAAAGATTATTGTCACCAAGTTTGTTGAGAGTGAAGTCTGATTTTCATATGACAGCACTTTTCAGTTAACCTAACCAAAACAATGACTTGATTTGACCCCAGATGACCTTTGACCTCAAATGTCTCAAGTCATCTTAAGTTCCCCTACCGAAAGATTATTGTCACCAGGTTCGCTTGAGATTGAATTCGCATTTGCATTTGACAGCACTAAACAGATAACCCAACCAAAATGGAACACACAGACACACAGGCCTGGCAGGGGATAAAAAAGCAAGTACGAAGCCTTTACAAATAAAGGGTAACATTGTCTCTACTGTTTTTAATGATCAATCATAAATAAGAAACAAAAGTATACGACAAGCATAATGGTGATAAACTTTGCAAACCTGATATGATTTCAGTTGGAAAATGGAGGGTAACAAATAATATAAAAGCATGACATGTGAATCCAGTAAACTGGTACTCACCTGTGGCATTTTGAATGCATCTATTAAAACAAGTTGCAAGTAGAATGTACATGCATCACTAAAACATGATTAAGTTTATTACGCACACTTTACTCGTATGTCCAAAGCTTTAAACTGGCGCTTAACCTGCATTAACTTGAATACTATGTGCAATTTTAATCTTATAGGTATTTCAAGGTGAAAGTAATGCTTTGATACTTTGCAAATGCATGTAGCACGTCTTGTCCAATTGGAAATAAAGCAAACTTAATGTTAAAATTCTTTTGAGTTGAATTATTTTTGCACTGAGGAAAAAAAAGAACATTTATTTCAATATGGAGCTGCATCAGAAACCGTTTTGTTGGTTACAGAAAATTTTTTGTCAACCTAATTCAAAAAATTTGAAACAAGACAACTGGACATAAACTTACTGGATACAGTCACAAACCTATCTGGGTATTTTGCTTCCTCAACCATAAATGGCAGGAAGTCCAGTCCAGTACTTGTTTCAATTTTTTTCGAATTCATATTACAATGTACCTGGACGTCTCAAAATTTCCATGAATTTACTGTCAGCCTAAGATAATGGTCATACTTATTAAGGACTACACACATACTGACTATCGAATCTCCCCCCCCAAAAAAAAACCTCCCCTGTATCTTGTTTATGCAGCTAATTCATGGGCACAAATAGGCAAATACATACTGAATAATGCTCTACAAGCTTCACTTTGAGACTGAAGGCTAACCCTTGAGAGTGAGTTTTCTTTTGCAATTTAAACAAATGCAGCTTAGTGAGTTGTTCTAGAACAGGAAAAAATGGGTAATCATGTTTAAATTGTAAACGAAAAGATAGCAGTTATGTGTGAGAAATAATCACATGAATGCAGACAAAACAGATGAAAGAAAGAATGAAAAAAAAACACAACCATCGACTCACAACCCTCTCCCCTAAAAAAAATAATAATCAAAAAACAAACAAACCAAGCTCCTGACTTTGGTATAAGAGGAATAAAAACCCCTTTTCTTTTTCGGAAAAAGAAAATTAAAACTCTTCCGAGGGTAAAATTGCGGTCGGACATCAGGCATCTACCCTTTTGTCAAAACAAAATGGGACGTGCTCAGTCGAATTTTGTACTTTTAGTGCATTGTATATTAAGGATTATAATCAGCAAGTTAAAGCCAAAACAGACTAAGCACTTAATATGATTTGTCTGACCACTGTTTGTGTCTAAAGCCCGCAGCACACATTTCTGATTTCACCAGTTCACTGGATCATTGGGACAGATCGCAGAGGTATGAACTGAAAATCGGACCCATCTTACTATACACCGGGCGACTGGATGAAATAAAACATATTTGATTTGTTCACATCTGATTTCACCGGATCTGATGTCACCGAAAAAGGTGTGAGGGCAGCAGTCTGATTTCACCAGACGCAAACTTAATGTTAACCAATCAGATTCTGAAAGGAAGTCACATGATTCAAAATTGACGGCTGCCATTTTGTCATCATGTGACAGTCAGACTTGTCATCATGTGACCAGTTATATCGGGCCAGTGTGCGGGTAAACATTTTGGTCTCCGAAATGGTGGAAAAAACTGTAGCGGTGATTCAGTGAGTCGGTAAAATCGGAAAGGTGTGCAGTGGGCTTTATAGTCCATCTTCTGGCTACTTGAACACCGCCACAACGACAACACAACACAGATACTACCTGCTGGATGAACAAGCAAAACAAGAACACGACCACTACATTTTGTTATGACTCCAGTGCTTTGGTTACTGAAACAAACCCACCCGTCACAATAAGAAACGGGGCTTATTTCTTGTGCTTCTCAACAATGGCCAGGAAGTCTTTGACGTCCTCGCTGGAGCCCATGATGACCGGACAGCGCTGGTGGATACTGGTGGGCTGGATGTCCAGGATATTTTCTTCGCCGGTCGTGGCTAAGCCGCCAGCATGCTCCACAATGTAGGCCATGGGGTTGCTCTCATAGAACAGCCGCAACTGGAGAAAAAATAAACGGAAACATAAATTAATTGGGTAAAACTTTTCACAGAATCTGTTCTAGTTCTGGAAATAGATAAGAGTTTCACTGTAATTGGTTAAAGATGCATACCCCATGCTCTTAAAAAACCCTCATTTTTTTCTCATAACTAATGTTAAATTTGGTTGTTTTTTTTCAAATTTTTTCCAATATTGGGCATCTGCAACCCTCTCAAAAGGGCTTTCATTTAGTGCACAAATGAACCTGCCCAGCGGGAGCTCAATTATTGTCTGGCAGCAAAAAATACAAATTTAGGAAAAAGTAATTCAATTACTAAATGTCAGTACATTTTCTATTGTAATATGTCACATTCAAAAGTGAATAACTTATATATTGCTACACTGCTAAAAAAAGAAGAAGATTTTCCTACATTTCTTATTTGACGAAATTAGTTCTTGCTTTAAGAACTATTTTCTTGTCTCATTTCCAAGAAAAAGTTTCTAGGGAGTGATACAAGAAATGTTTTCTTGAAATATCCTTTTTTTCTCATTTCAAGAATACCATATCTAGCAGTGTAGGAAAATAGCAATTGAACGAAATCTATTTTTTTGAGTCGAAACTCAAAAAAAAGAGAAGAGAATGCATCTTTAATGCTACCCCCATTGACTTTTTTTTTTACTCCAAACCTTCCTGGAGCTTCTTATATCCTCCACAATACAGAAAACTATCCGTCCTGTTTGTCAAACAAGGGGTGTGTATTGACCAATAAGATCATGAGTTGTGCTCAGGTGACACGGTAGCTCGGTCAAACTTAGTCACAAGCACGAAATGTTCACGAACCAAAGGTGGGTGGGGCTCGAGCCTCAGGGCTCTCTACCTTCCTCAGTCCTACCAAAATTCTCCAAACCTGCAGGATTTAGTTTTGAATTAATATGTATTCTTGGCTTGTGCCTACCACTCTCAATTAATCTACATCGAGGATACAAGTTGATCAGTGACTAATAAACAAATTTGTGATAAAAATCCATATTATAGTGAGAGACCTGAAGTGATGCTTATGAGTAAGCACTTGCAAATGATGTAATACAAATGCCAGAGAATGTATGAAAATTGACAACTTACAACTGTTTCATGAATCAAAATAATCACAACTACAACTATTTCGTGAATCAAAACAATTTCAACTGCAACAAGATGTCACCTACCTTTCCCTTTGGACTTTTCTTGTGTGCTGGGTATAAGAAGATCCCCCCGTACACCAATGTACGATGCATGTCAGCGACCATGGAACCGATGTACCGGGAACCGTATGCCGCCCTCTCTTCCTGTAAACAAAGGAGTCAGATGACCAATTAGATCCTTTCGTTTTGTTTTGGTGTTTACACAAGCACTCTTATTGGTACACAGTTTCTGCCTAACAGTGCCAGCAACGCATATATATGTGTAAGTGCACTTTTCATCAAAGTTGAAGTCAAGTCCTTACAAGTTCAATTCAATTCAATTCAATTCAAGAAGACATTTATTCCACACTCCTTTAGAGAATACATCCATAAATAACAGAAAGACTGGTAAATAGCAAAATAACAAAATCAATAAATTTGTCTCAAAAATAATAAAAGTAAAATGCGCTTAGAAGAAATGATAAACTTATTTCAATATATGTACAAGAGAAAGTAAGGAGTATGGGGATGTTTAAGTAAGCCGAGGCTTGTACGAAACAGCCCTTACAGACAAACTAACAACAGAAAAACAACATGATAACGACACACGGGCGAGACAGACAAGACAAAAGACTTACACGACGATAGCTAACGGCAAAAAGAAAAAAACAAAAAACAAAGCAGTGTTTTGATTCAAAAACCGATAACGACTTCAAACGTGAATAAACATGGAGAAGTAAATTACAAGTCCTTCAGTCTCAAGTCAAGTCACAAGTTATTCAAATGAACTGTGACAAGTACATTTATTTGTCATCTCCGTTCCTGTTCGTCCTGTTCACTTGTGATGGACTTGTGATCTGACTTGTAATGAATTTTGATTTGGGTGAAATGTCGTATCAGATATAAAGGTTCATTGTGCCACTGCTACAACAAAAAAAGCTAGTTAAATCTCAAAACTTGACATGGGATAGTTCCAATAAACTCCAACTCAGACCTGGTCACACAGGCAGCTTTTTATGCTACAGTAAAAACTTTTGATCAGGATGGTTCAACATTAGAAAATACAGGGGTGTGAGTGGAGCTTTAAAAAAAAATAGATGAACCTGCGAACGCTAAGCCCATACGGCGAGTGGTCCGAAAAATTTTGAAATGTAGATGCTCTGTGGTGCATTTTACAGCCTCCTGGGTGTAAAATGCACCTATGTTTTACAATTTATCATGTTTTTAAATTAACTTTTTCAATCCCTTTTGCTATTTTTATAGAAAGAGGGGTTGTAAATGTACAACCCAAATGTGAGGGTGACTTGTAAATGCGGTCGGCGGATTAGTCTATAGTGTAATATGATAAAGGGTTCGGATCATAGGTCACATGCAACTAGTTTCTTGACTTACGGTCGTCTTCTTCTTGCTTTCCACATACTCCTTGATGGCATCGGCCCAGAGTTCAGTGTATCCCTCATTGATACTGTAGATTTTGCCTCGTGGCTTGATGCGGATGTTACGCTCTGTTAGGATAAACTCACCGATGGCCTAAGAAAGATGTACAACATGAGACAAAAAATGAACATCACTGAATCTTGGACCAGGACAACAGTCTTTGGTTTAACCACTTGATCTATGCTGATTGGGTGAAAGGGATATTTTTTTTATGTGGGGGAGAGAGGTTGCAGGGGAGAATGTCTCAAAGACATTGGGCTGATATACTGCATTTTTTTCTGCAAGTCCGTATATCAGCTTGCTATTTAGTTTCTCCCCATAAACAAGTGGTAAAACTGCCTTAAAAGGAAAACAAAAAATTAAAAAACCCAATCTGTCTATAGCTTGTAATGAAATGCTTCAAACTATTAAACAAAAGTGTGCCAAATGTGCTCCGCACTAAGGGGTTTTCATACAAGACTGCTGTCGTATTAGCCTTGAACATACACTGACCATTACCCTTCCAAATCCTTAGAAATCAACAGGATATTTTTGAGAATTGTGTAGGATCGGTGAAGGTTTGGCCAAGCCTTCTTTACAATGGAGCTTGATGATCTTGAAAAATGCATGCACAAAGATTGTGCATTGTTTACTGTTGTTTGGTTACAACACAGCAGTGGATTTTTCTAAGGAAAAAAGGGCTCCGTGATATTGGAAGATTTTGGAAATAAGAAAAAACCAAAGGACTCACAGGATCCAGCATGAAGCCATTGACGGTGCCTGCTGCGCTGAGTACCACCATTGTAGCGCTGCCGTACAGAGCATAGCCGGCTGCGACCATCTTACGACCGGGCTGCATGATCTGTTCTTTGGTCGGTGCATCGCTGGTTCCCTGTCATGATGAAGATGTTTGGGAAAAAACAGTTGGTGACCGAGGCATTCTTAGTGCATCACTTTTTTGATTCAGGCTTTCAAGTATATAATAAGATGGTAGGAGTCAGTGATATATGGTTAGGGGGGGGGGGGGGAGCAATGAAAATGTATTCTTAAATGGGTACAGGTAGATGGTAATAGGCTGTAGCCTCTCCTATGTAAATATATGGAGGAAATATAATCTACATCCACAAAGAAGGAGAAATTTAAGATGATATCAGGATTTTGATGGCAAGAAATTCTAGCAGAAAGGAATTAAATCCCAAGGGCTGATTTTTAGAGGGGGGGGGGGGGGTGGGTTTGGGAAGTCAGGAGGTCAATATCAGTTTTGATTCAAAATTCAACAAAAGTCCACCGAGTGTGGAAAGACCCATGCAGGTTGAACACGAGTCGGGAGGGCTTACAATTCACGCTAGTACTGGTCTGTTCATTGGTCAGCCGTAATTTTGGATTGTGTGCAAGGGTGAAGCCTCTCAAACCTGGTCGCGTCAATCGGGGATGAAATTTACCCACGTAATTAAGCCGTGATGGATATTCTTGCTAGTGTGAAAGGGGTTTACCGAAATACTGATTTTTGGCCTTGGTTCAACCAGCTTTGCAGTCACATCAATCCCAAGTCCTCACAATTTCATCACAAGTGTCAATCACAAGTCAAATATATGTCACCTAGTCACAAGTTAAGTAACAAGCTATTCAAATGAACCACAACAACTAGGCAGTCCTTTGTAATTGTTCATAACTCATTACTTGTGACCGGACTTGTGAACTGACTTGTGATTTACTTCTTTCCAAACTTGCTATGGACACAACTTCAAAACTACGAAATGTTGTATAAGTTGAAATCAAGGCCTTTAGGTGGAGAAGAAAGACAACTCATTCTTACGTTCCTCCAGATGCCAAAGATGGATCCAATGGAGACGAGACAATCGATATTGGAGGAGCCGTCCAGGGGATCAAAGGCGACGATGTACTTCCCTCTCTGCTCTGCCTCAACCTCAATCACCGTCTCATTCTCCTCCGAGATGAGCGCACAGGTGGTGAAGGACGACCGGAGGGAGTTGATGAAGAGATCGTTGGCCAAGACGTCTAGTTTCTTCTGCTCATCACCAGTCACATTGGTGCCGCCTGCTATACCATACCTGAATTGATAATTATCAATAATGTCATCATACATGTAGCCGCTCAATTGCTAAATATACATGTACCGTCAGTCGGAAAGTGTTATCATGATGTAGTGTAGGATGTTATTAAAGATATGGAGGGATACTTCTAGAATTTGAAGGCACCTCTGATTAGCCTTCTTGCAAAAAAGTTCTAGCATTGTGATTTTTCAAAGGGTCAGTACCCTATGGCTTTTGGAAATGCACTTTGATAGACGAAATACCTTTGTCTGGAATTTCAATTTCTGAAACACCAATCCACCCAAAACGCTAACGAGAGGTGCCTTCTAATTCTAGAAGTAAATGAGGGAGACCAGTATCTAGGCATCAGAATCATGTGACAAGACAAGAGAAACCTCTGACATGTCTGAAAGTAAAATAAATTTAGATATAAAACAAATCTTATATTTCCAGAAATACTTGATCTCCTTTATTATTTACACAGTCTAATGAAACCAAAAAGTCTCTTAATTCGAACCACGTACCATGATCACATCTAGTCCGAGTAACTTGGACCCAACTTATCGCCTTTTTTTAACATTTGGACATGGTCTGGATGATGTTGTCCAGGTCGCGGTATTAGCTTGAACCCCACTATCGCCAGACCATGTCCAAATGTTAAAAAAGGCGATAAGTTGGGTCCAAGTTACTCGGACTAGATCACATCAGGAACACCGAACACAAAAAAATCATATGATATTGTTGAATGATAAATCTGAAGAAAACAAAAACCATAAATAGATGTATCCCTCCAGTCTGTTTAAATTAGAGCACACGCAGCATCCAAGATTTTCAGGAAGGTTTTGTGTAAAATGGACAAGAAACATGGGTTAAAAATATTATGCATCACGATGACCAGTTCAACTTACAGTTTAGCAATTCCAGCTTGGCGTACAGCAGACGACACGGCCTTAATGGCGGTCAGTAAAGAGTTCAGTAGCTGGGTCAACTCGCCGGTTGCGCCTGGAATTTTCCGTTGTTCCTCGAGAACAAACCGCGTCAGGGTCATAAAATCGGTCTGTAGGGCTCCTTCCGACATTGCAAAGGAATTAGGTTGAATTCAGTGCTCTGAAAGTGGTAATTTGCGGTCGTAAAAGACGACGTAATTCTTAAACTTGCAACTGTCCTTCGTGCACGTATTACATGGGATTGATCGTTGTACGATTTTTGTTTACTGTGACATGTGTACGTGTGGGTCAATCATCAGCTGTAGCCAATGGCATGGCTCGTTTTGATCACATGACTGACACACCCCCACGATGATAAATCTAGTAACCAGTATTCACGTAACCTCCGTTAAGCGTGTTGATAAAATGGTTCCAGACTACATGCGTACGTGCATGCACGCGTGTCGATTTAATCATCTACAATACGTACTTTAAAACTGGATTACAGTGAAAACTGAAAAGAGGGGGAAAATGGCCAATTAATTAAGGTTAAAATAATGTGACACAAAGATGTGTATACAAGGTTTGCATTGAAATATAGGTTTTCCCGGACAATTTCGGAAAATGTGTACACGAATGTGTAAAAGAAGCATTTGTTTTCGTGCGAAATAGAATGAACGTTCCAAATCTCTGTTTCTATTTAACAAATGACAATTCTTTTTCCGTGAAAGTGCATTCAGTCGTAAAAAATCAGCGTACGATTTCCCGAATGTGCACTGCATTTAGTGTTATTGACATTTCATTTAAGCGCGAAATCGGAGGCACATCCGCAATCCTGTTTTCCTTTTAATTTATCATCAATCTTTTTCGCTAAATGTGCAGCTGATTTCCCTCGCAGTGTTCTTTAACGTATGCCTGTTCAAGCATTGGAATTCACTTATGTGTTAAAGTAACAGTTGAGGAATGGTTGATTGAATGATTGAATTTTTGAATATTCAAAAAGTCCCCATGCAGATCCCATGTAACATGACACGTGATGTGTCCCTTTACCGTCTCAATAATATGGCTACAAGATTATTTTGAGTGATTTCATATTGGTCATATTAAATATCATTTTCACATTTGATTTGCCTACATTTCACATAGGCGTGTATATAAGAACAAACACATTAATGATCAATAAGGCATACATTGATTAATTAATGAATCATTAATTAATGAATCAAAGTTGTATCATGATTTGTATAGGCCTAATTAATTTATTTAAATTGAATGCCGAAAATGCGAATTTAAATTGTAACAAATGAAAAAGAATGTTCAATTCAGCCTGTGTCACAATAGACAATCGATTTTCTGCGAATTGGATTGCACATTCGTAATAATCGGCAACGCATACGCCAAACCGAAAATCTAATCACGTATTTGTAATCCCTTAAATGAAACGTTATGCACATTCGTTCATTTGATTGATGCAAAATGACATCGAATGCTAGTTATTGCGAAAATGAAACCAGGATGTACGTCGTTCTCAAATTCGGCGCCAAATTGAATTTATGTTTTACAAATTCAAACGCACATTTTCCGAAATTGTCCGGGAAAACCTATATTACTTTGCACGGGTCCTTTAATTAAATAAGTGTTCGGTCAGACTTACGCAAGATAACATTTAAGAAATTACTCAAGAGAAGTGTTCCCGATGGTACAACCATTGCCAAACATAAACATGCCACAATATTTTGCACGTTAAGAAATCGTCAACGTAAAGAAACCCCTTGCTCAAATGTTTAAACAAGTAGGAAAGATCAACAGTGAAAAAGAAATTATCTTAGCCCTTTCCATTTCATTAATTTGGTACATGTATCCCTCATATCAGTGTAAATTTTTGAGTCACCCAGATTTTTTTGTTGGGGGGGGGGGGGAATAACCTCGGAGAAAAATAGGAAAATATATCAATAAAAAAATCTTATCAATTTGAATGACCAAACGATGAAAGTGATTGCCCATAAACGAATAAGAAACGAAAAGCATGGTAATACGTTGTAAGCGCACAGACGTTCGCTAATTTGAATGCGTCAACCGTCAAAAGGTTGCGAAGTCTTAATTAAGAATGCTACCAATTAAGATTTGAATGCACCAAAACGAATTAGACTGTCCCAAAACGAAAACGAACATTCAGTGCAAAATGTTGGCTACCTAAAAATGAAATTGAATGTCCCTAAAATGAAAAAGAAACCCCAATTTGATCACATGTGCAAAACTCACACGAAATTGAATGGCTGATAATGAAAATGATTAGAAAAATTCGAAAATTGGCCGGGAAACCTATAACTAAATAAATAAATAAAAATGAATGGGCTAACATTTTAATTCTTGAAAAGTAGCAATTAAAAAACATTATCTATTTTCGGGGTACAACTCCAGGGGTAAAACTCGAAAATATCTGGCACAGTGCGCAGGGGATGCTGGGTTTTGGCATTATATGTTAATTAGTCTGTCGGAAGCTTGGCTACGGGTGGTTAACCCCCACCAAAAAATCACCCACGTTGGATCCACCCTTGCAGTTAACATTTAAAATCAAACCAATCATTTTAATCAAAATATATCCGAGCCAAATTGTAAGAACTTAATTGGCGGCCAACTCTCTGAGGCATTCCTATAGAATAGCGCCATCTGTAGTTCCAAAATGTCCTAACGAGCACGGCAGCCGCGAGAAACCTTACCCGCCTGTTCAACGGTGTGATTTTGAGGAAGCAGACGACTCACCAACATCGCGCGTTCCTCCATCGATTTCTTTTCGGTCGGCGCGCCAACTCGTCTCCAAATTAAACCTTTATATGAAATTACTCCCGATCTTGGGCATCACCCGGAACACGGCTCTGTACGTGTGGCAGCCGAGTCTCATACACGCTGCTTTTGATATTGGAGCAGTTTGATTTTATCAACCTTGGACGGACTAGAACGAGAAGGCCGTAACATGCGAAAGGTAGGCGAATTAAATCCTGTTTTCACGTACACTTATGAGCAGGGGCTACACACACGCACGCGACGAAGGTTCAATGTCTAGATCGCGCGCCGCACGACCTTTCGTCATAACAAAACAAATAATATTTGCTTTAGAAACATATAAAATGGACGAACCGACTGAGACGCAGAGTCGTTGACATTTTGCTCCATGCCTGTATTGATGAAGACAAGCCATCCAACAAAATTGTAGCAGTCATAAAGAACCCCATATTACGCGTGTGGCCATTTCACCCGTTTCATCGCACGCGTGCCGCTTTTGCCATTATTATACTCATAAATTCCGATTTGTGCATATTAAACATGGCCCCTTTATAGGCCGACTGTTTAATGACTGTACCATATGGGATATCACCTTTCACTCTTTCATAAAACATACAACAAGGAATTGATATAAATGTAGGAAAGAAACATGACAGCTGGCTTTAATTTCGTATTTGGTAATACTGAGTGCTGATTCACATTTTGGCAGATAATAAAATAACGAATGTTGGTGTATTTTAATTATTTTTTTCACGCATATGAGCCAGGTAAGAGTTACATGAAGCGAACAATTTGAGCTTTCGAATTTGGGATTCAAAGAAAATGGTTGTCTGAAAAAAAATGTACTTTCTTATTATAGCTTTTACCTCTTAAAGGAGGCTCTTCTTTGTTAAAGCTGGGGCCGCAGCAGGAACGAGGAAACACAAGAGCAGTTTTCTACTTGGGGGAGGGGCGGAGATAACTTGGGGGTGGTTACCACTCGGACCTTCAGGCTGTGTGACCAATCCTAGGCCTATAGACTAAGTATTTATGTGACTGACAAAAAACTTTTCATTTTCTTCCTCGAAATAGCTTAATACAGGGTGTGAGTAAAAAAAGGGGAACCTTAACCCAAACCCCCAAAAATTATTTCATATTTCAAAAAATATGTAACACCAAACATAATAATAACTGGAAAGCCAATTTCATAAGCTACTTTTAGATGAAAAAATTACTGAAATTGCTCAATCCGTTCAAATAATATCACCATGTAAACGCAATGACACTAAAACCTCTTTTGTCAAAACAGAAGAAGAGCAGATTAGTGTGTATTCTGACTGTTTGGAACAACAAAGAAAATGACACAGAATACTTGTTTCAACAACTGTCAACAATTACTTTAGTACACAATATCTTTATTAACAGCCCTGGTTAGGCAAACAATATGATTTATAACATCTATTTTTTTTTAAGACGGGCCTTCAAACTTTATTGAATTTTTTTTACTTTTAAACTGAGGTTTTAACGCTGGTGATGCTTGAAGAAATTTGTGACGATTCTTGAAATCGCATTTTTGGACGAAAGAGGTTTTAGGGTCACTGTGTTTAAATGGTGATATTCTTTGAACGGATTGAGCAATATCAGTAATATTTTTCATCTAAAAGTAGCTTATGAAATTTGCTTTCCAGTCATTATTGTGTTTGGTGCTACATATTTGTTTTAATATGAAATAAAGTTGTTGGGGTTTGGGTTCCGCTTTTCTTGACTCACCCTGTATTTAAAATCTCCGTTCATTATTGGTCTGCTTTATGACGTTCACTCTTCGGCCAGTCACTGCGCTGGACATCCGCAAGACTTCGCCACAAATCAGCAACCCTTTTTGAAATCCTTTATCCACCAACGTCACTTTCTCTCCTTCAGAGGAAACTTTGATTTTTTTTTTGACCAGCATAATATCAATATTTTTTCGTGTCGTTGGAAATGTCATTTAACCAGACGTACGTGTGGAATGTTTAAGAGAGGGTGTAAAGAAAAGCCTACAGCGTCCATCGGCGGGGACGGGGAGGGGGTGATGCGAAGCCCATTTCCCATTTTCTTGTGTACCACTCGCTATTCAAAACCTCAAGATCACAAAAAAAGACATGGCCTGACATTAACCTCGATAACAAATGTATCTATGTCAAGGACCATGCTCTACTGTGCTATCGTTATTGGTTTCTGATGCCGCCAAATTTGATAAAGGCTGCCATTGCAAATTGTCCCGTCCCAGACTCGTCTCGGTCTATAGTTCTATATGTCCAGTGGCGTCACCAGACTTTTCAGTCTGGGGGGGGGGGGGGGGGCACAGGGGGGGGGGGCACCAGCATTTGATGGGGGGGGGGGCACTTAGGTGGATACGGATCGCCGTCCTGGGGGAGGGGTCTAAGGGGAGGGGGTGCCCCCCTCCCCTTTGGAAAATTTTCGCATACGGAGGATGGGCTAGATGCAAAATGGTGCCACATTTAATGCTAAATTCGATCTGAAGATATCTCAAGAAATTGCTATTTTTGAGGTAATGATTTTAACAACGCGCAGAATTTTGCAGAGGATAGGGGGGCACCAGCATTTGATGGGGGGGGGGGGGGACACTCGGGGGGGGGGGGGGGGCACTAGGTTTTCCAGGGGGGCACGTGCCCCCCCTGGCCCCCCCTTGGCGACGCCACTGTATATGTCAGTGTCATATTTTGGTTGTGCAGTGTGCCGAGTTAATTCAGTTACGTACGTTGTGACCTGGTGTTTGCGCAGACACGAGCAGGTCATGCATAATTCATGAACAACTTATGCATAATTCACGTTGGTAGCCTGTATAGTGACAGTCCCATGCTGCCAGATTGTAATGTGAATTGTCAGTGTGTGCTACAGACGAGTCTTAGTTTAAAATCTACATTGCAATAGAAATTTAAGCGTTTGCATAATCAATAGCAAACAAGTCTTGCTATGGTTTTGAGAGGGTATATTATACCCTAATAGTTGGCATGCTTGCTCAATTAATTTCCTTACGCTGATTAAAATATCAGCTGACTATACTTCGTCCGGGGCCACGATAAGAAAGACGGTAAAGTATCACCGAGTAACCAAAAACTGATATTTCGCACGTATTTTCGACTTTGCCCATCTGTTTATCACCACCGTTTCGGCAATGCATATTTTTTTAATAAGTAAAACATACACATTTTTTACAAAAATATTGAAATGTCAAATTTTCACACAAGGCCAACAATGTTTAAAATTTACGCACGCATAGTTTAGCAGTTTATGGGGGAAATGTTGAGCCGGGATTTTTCCGTCAATCTTCTCTTTCGAGTGAAAATCCCATACTGTTTGTCTCGATCTCGCTGCCATTGGCGCGGCGTCCCGAACCAGTGCAAGCACGCATTTTAATGACTGGAAATCCCTCTACTGATACATGGCTGGTGACGTCATCGGTCAGGTCGTTTATCTCTTATTTGCGTCTCGTGAACAACGGGAGTCGAAGGGCCTGAATTAACGTTGATAGATACAGTATCCGTTACTAGACATTCACGACTATGTCAATATTAATATTCAACCAGCGATATCATTAATGGGAGCCTTGCGAACACATGTAAAATACACACATGCGAATGACGTAATTCTCAGTGAGATCAATTTTGTTAGGTCAAACGAAACGGTAGGCCTATAGAAAGGATTGTCTAATGAGACTTTTTGCTTATGCTTTACTGGTCCTAATTATTTGCGAATATATTATTGATAAATATCTATATATATATATATATATATTTCCTTGCAAGACCTAATCAAATGTTTCAACCTCGTACATATAAAAAAAAATGATAAAATTTAAAATGTGGCAATAAATGGATCACGCTGAAAAACCGTCTGGAAAAATAGGCAGGGAAATAAAGTCGAAAATTTTCCTCCAAAACCACATTAAAAACCAATTAGAAAGATAATCACTTGTCTTCGATCGTTAACCGTGGAACAGTATTCATTGCGCCTGGCGGGGGGCACCGTTGAATGACTTTGAAGCTGACATGTTATTGAGCGAATAGGCGCCCACTGGGGAACAAGAATACCCGGTCGGATACTACACCATTTAAAAGACGTTCTCTTTAACAATCTTGAAAATATTATATTTTTTATACACTTAGGCACGTGCTAGCGGCCCGGCCGCCCCGCGTCACATCAGTACACACTCTTGATGAATCACGGTAAACGCGTGACTTTCTAAATGACACCGCGTCACGTCACGTCTGCAAAGATACTAGTTTTTTTTTATGCATGCACGGCACGACAATGTCTCGTCCCTTCTGGCTCATTAATTATCATATTTATCAATTTATAAGGTGAGAACTCTTGTTGAGTCACAAGCTATGAAATATGAATATGAGCCCCCGGGCTTGCTAAAGTACACGTGCTTTAACGGCAGTGTATAAGCTGACATGTAATAGATTGCATGCCTTAAGTTATAATTTTTTCACTTATATAAAGCGACCCATTCGGACGTGCGCATTATTTCTCGCGACTAAAGTACATTCAACGCGCTTTAAGGCTCGGCTGTATAACAGTTATATAGCAGGTGGATAAATTCCGATCGATACAACCGGTAACTAATAAACTAAAATTGGTTATAGACAATCGTCTGTGGGGGGTTGTCACAAGTGAAGTGGGCAGATGTTTCTTGCAATTACAGTTAGCGAGGCTATTAAAATAGGGAGGGCTATTGAAATCATCGCGTGCGGTTGACATTGTGGAAATGCGTGAACTGTGAAGTCTAGACTAGTCCACGGCGGATAGTGTGTTTGTAAACGCCTTCACTTGCATCATGTCATGAACTGAAAGTCATATTGGTCTTAAAGAAATGCCAGCTAAACTTATAAAAAAAATTGAAATATAATAAATTCTTGCAAAAAATATAATGTTTGATGAATGTGACACCTTATAACTGCCAATATATAAAAGAGGCAGAAGAATATATGTTTAATTATTAAATATGCTTGTTCTTAATGTATTGTGCACTTATGCGAAAGAAAAAATTCATTAATGGGACATTCTATAAATTTGTGGTACACTCTTTTCCACTTTCTAACAAATCAAAATAGTTTGAAGTCATTTTTGGTGGTACTTGAATGGAACATTACGAAGTTCAGACGTAACAGGTAAAGGCAAAAATGTCAACTTGGCTCTAAAAATATATTATTG